TTGCATAACCCGCCCCGGGCTCAGCGGGGCCCAGGTCAGTGGCCCCGAAAGACAGGGCCTGGCTTCTCGGCCATTCACTCTGCGTCTCTGCTCACGGGTTATTCCTTCTCTCGGAGACTCAGACACGCGGTCACTGTGTACGTGTCTCCCACGTGCCACCTGGTCACCTTTCTGGTTTCCGCGGAGCCGCGTGGGGTGTGGGTGGCGGCACCGGCACGTGTAGAGCTAAAGGGCACCCGGACTTGGTGAGAACTGTTCAAAGGTGGCCTTGCAGACACGCTGACATTTCTATGGGCGATTTGATTTTCTCTAACTCATCCAATTTGTCTTTGACAAAAAGTACGTACCTCAGTTGTCAGAAGAGAACCACGAGTCGTTATTAAGAGCATTTTCTCTCCTTTCAGGTCGAAGTGTTGTATTTTGCAAAAAGTGCTGAAATCACAGGAATTCGCTCGGAGACCATTTCTGTGCCCCAAGAAATAAAAGCCTCGCAGCTGTGGAATGAGATAGAAACGCGGCATCCGGGGTAGGTAAACATTTGTGGAATACATACAACAGACACTTTTTAGCATTCTAAAAAATGTGTAAATGGGTAAATGGTCAAAGTGAAAAAAATTAATTTTGTTTTCCCTAATGTCAGAAAGGGTCATTAGTTCTGCTTTTCTGGAATCAGAAATGTAAATCCTAGTTTAAAATGCATAGTTAAGGCGGGTTAGAGAGTTACCGAGGAGCGCAGTGAGCTGGGTGCTCCCAAAGGGACATGCTCATGTTTGCTTTAGTAATTTCAAAATATCGAACATGTAGATTCTGCATTTTCATAGCAGTAAGTGAAATTGTTACAAATTCTGTTAAAATGTGTGCTTGAAACTTTTATGTCCTGCCACTTCTTCAGAGAAGTCAAAATGGAAATTTCTAAGATTAAGAGAAAAAGGAGAGTCCAAACCCCAGGGTTTTGGATTTGCGTTTGGATTTGCTGAATTTGCGTTTTGCAATAGCCGATTTAATGTTCCTGCTGTTGTTCCTATCTCAAGTTCTTTTGGGGACAAATTGTAAAAAGTGGCTTCTTAGAAGGTGTTCAGGAATATTAACGATGTCACTTGGTCCATACAGATGTTCAACGTGTAAGAGAAACTCCACAATGCGTGTTCAAAAAACTACTCATTTTTTATTTTATTTACCTTTTAAATTGCTCTTAAAGTGCCCTGATAATCCATGACACATGCGGGGCCTCTGTCCCACCTTACCTTTAATCTTTCACCTGCCCGGAGACACCTGTCTTGTGGGGACTTCTGAGGTACACTTAGTAGACTGTACACTTAGAAGGCTCCTGGAATTAGGGCATTTTTTCTTTTCTTTTTCTTTTCTTTGACCTGGTCTGAATGTTAGCTTCAGTCTAGTATTTAATTCTCTAAGACACACAGCAGCCAGTACTCATTGTTGGCAGTTTTCTGTGTTCTTGGTGGTGAATGAGTATATTCTTCAATGGATGTGTCCTTTCTCTGCAGAACGTAAGTTCCTTTAGTTAGTAACGCTGCAGGCGATGCTACGAAGTAATATTTATGTCATATTTTTTTTGTTTCCTTAATCCTCACCTGAGGGTATTTTCCTGTTGATTTTTAGAGAGTGGAAGGGAAGGGGAGAGACAGAGAAACATTGATGTGAGAGAGACACATCGACTGGTTGCCTCCCACACAGGCCCCACCCAGGGTCAGGGATCCAGCCTGCAACCGAGGTACGTGCCCTTGACGGGAATCGAACCTGCGACCCTTCAGCCTGCTGGCCGACGCTCTAGCCACTGAGCCACACTGGCCAGGGCTTCTGTCACCTTTTTCAATGGAGACCTTGGAGGCCTCGCACAGCACTGACGCTTCTCACTCTACTTGCTTCCCTCAGGTTGGCTGATGTCAGGGACCAGGTGATACTGGCTGTGCGTCAGGAATATGTCGAGCTTGGAGATCAGCTCCTTCTGCTTCGATCAGGAGACGAAGTCGCCATCATCCCCCCCATCAGTGGAGGCTAGTGCTGGGGGGCCCCTGGAGCATGTGAGGTGAGTGTTCCTGTCCCTGGAGAAGGGTCACACAGGGGTAACCTGCGTGCAGATTGCTTTGCCTGCGCTCTTTGGCAGTCTGTCTGCGCGCTCTCTGTCACAGCGCAGCCCGGTGTCCGTGCAGACAGACTTATGACACCTCCCTGCCGTCTCTGCTTCAGTTCTGCTGTCAGCAGCCTCACTTCCTGTCCCTCGGATGTGTTCATCCTCTTCACTTAGCACGGTTTATTGAGACTTTCTCGTGTGTCAGGCACAGTGTCGGACACTGTTTTGCAGGAGGGAGAACTGGTGTTCAGAGAAGGTACAAAGCTAGTCTGTGATCACGTAGCTAGTAAGTGGCAGAGCCAAGACCCGAGGTCAGATGGTTGGACTCTGTCCTTTTACACGAATGCGCTTGCTGGTGCTGGGTAGCAGCTCCCCTGGCACAGAGGGTGCGGAAACATTACATGCCCGGCAGTGAGAGATCGCTGTGCCTGGAAAGGACGCCTACCCGTTCCCAGGGATGTGAAAACGCAGCTTTATTATTTAGCTGTTGCAGGCGGGCCTAGGACCCAGGCCATCGCTCCGTCTGGCCAAACAACACAGCGTCCCTGAGTAGAGGGCGTATAAGAACGATTCTCTGTGTAGTCTGGACACACAGACAGAATGGGGCTTAATTTATTGTCAGCTGACGAGTAAATGATGTAGAGACGAACAATCATGCCAGTAAAGTTAGGAATGAAGGAGAACGTTCAACTTGCTGGCGTTTCCCTCCAGAATCGGAGTGACTGTCACGCTCAGCGGTAAATCCTTGGTTTCATCGCAGAAAGGAACAAGCCGCGGATGCCTGGTCACGTTTTCACCCACTTTTCACCACGCTTTTCCGGAGGCCAGTGCCCCCAAAGGGAAGGATAAATACTGCAAAGCAGATTGCCCACCGTGGCCGTAAAGATGGGCTCTCTCTTCGCCCTACTGTGTAGGAATAATAGGAGGCTTCCGTTAGACATGTATCTGTTTTATTTGGAAACTGTGGTCACCTTATCACCTCCATGATTTTAGAAAAGTGCTATTTTTTGGAGTTTGGAATTTATTCAGAAATAATGGGCTGCCATTGAAGTTAGGGGTATGTCGTGTGTGTGTGTGAGCATGTGTGTGTGTATGTGTGCGTGCGTGTGTGTGAGCATGTGTGTGCGTGCATGTGTGTGAGCATGTGTGTGTGCGTGCATATGTGTGCGTGTATGTCATGTGCGTGTGTGCACGTGCATGTGTCTGAGCGTGTGTGTGTGCCTGCGTGTGTGTGTGATGATTAGAGCTGCTCCTTGGACAGATGCGGAAGTTGACTCAACAGCTTGGTGATTGTTTGGTGTGTTTGACATGTTTGAAGCATATAGTTTTAGGTCCTCACAGAACTAGTGTGGGAAGCTGGCATGGTTTGAAGTTCAGAGACTGTTTGGCTTGCCTGGATCTTCTTGCAAGAAAAGGGGGTGGAGGAGGCTCGGGGCGTGTGTGGGAGGTTGAACATCCTGGATCAGTGGTCTAGGATGGCTGCTCATTTCTCTTCAGGGGCGGAGGGGACAGGGCGAGAACACTGGCTTAGGAAGGCTCCTTGGCTGGAATCACCTTGAGTGACTGACTCCCTCACTCCTCCGGGTCTTCTTCCTCTCCTCTTCCGTGCGGGTGAACCCCCCAGGATGTAGGATTTTATCCACACTCCTCGCGGCCTGCAAGGTTCCACCTGCCTGGCCCGTGTCTAGTGCGTGGGTGAGTCCCCGCGCAGGGAGCAGGCCCCAGATGCTGCTGGATGGCTGGGCAGTGCACGGCGAGGACCCCAGCGCTGTGCATAGGTGGGCACTTCCCCCTTTTATTTCCTCGGCGCCTTTGCGGGTCGTGCCCGCGGTGAAATGAATCCGTCCCTGTGCGTCACCATTTCTCTCCCCCGGAGCCTCTGTGGCTAAAGGAAAGGGCGGTTCCGGGCGTGGTTTGGTGACAGCGGGGAGAGTGATGTGCGTGAGGCTGACCTGTCGAGATCTGGACTGTCCCGGGACGGAGAGCCCTCAGAGGAGCAATTCCAGAAGGGGACGAAGTGGGCGTCAGGGATAGTTTATGCCTTAAGACTCAGCGGTTCTCAACCTGTGGGTCGCGGACAATGAAAATACATCCTGCATACCAGACATTTACATTACCATTCATAACAGTAGCAACATGACAGTGATGAAGTAGCCACGAAAATAATTTTATGGTTGGGGGTCACCACAACATGAGGGACTGTATTAAAGGGTCGCGGCATTAGGAAGGTTGAGAACCACTGCTAGTGGTCATGTTCCTGGTAAACTCCTTTTTATATCATGCTCGACTCATTAGGGATAAGCACTGTGGTGGTTGTTTTTTTAATTTCACACTTATTTGTATCATTCAGATCAGATCGTGCCTCCTAGCACCTCTGATGTAGGAAAGCATGACTGGACGTGCAGCCTGTAGCTGGGTGTTTGCCGCTGGCACCACCGTTAAGGTCTGTTAATACCTCATTTCTAGGGCAGATGTGGGTGAAGATGACGAGAAACCTAAAGATATCATCAGGTTCACCGCCGAGACGCTGTCCGTGGAGGAAGTCTCGCGGCTGGTGACCTCCCCGCTCTGCGGTGCAGTGTCCCTGTTTGTGGGTGAGTGTGTGTCCCCAGCTCCCTTGCCGGCACGAGGCCGTGAAGGCACGGGTGTCCCGTGTCCAGTGTCGGGGCGGGAGGTTAAGACACTGAGCCACGGTGACCGGGTGGGGGTCGAAGTTTCCAGCTTTGCGTCGTGTGAGTAATCTTCAAACGAACATGTTAAAGGCCTCCTGAGAGCAGGACAGACGTCCTTAGCAGAGAGAATTCTGTGTCTTCCAAACATCCAGGGGAAATGGTGGCGGTGGTACCTCCATGATAACCGGGAACGTGATGCGTTCCTCTAAGTGGCAGATGCCGCCGGAAAGGAACTCTGCTGCTTTGTCACGCGAGAGTCTCCGTCCGCCTGCCCGGTCAGCGCGTCTTATCTTCTTACCTTTGTGATGGTTATCTTCTGTTTTTCTCATCATGTTCATTTTTAGAATATTGCAACGTAATCTTCAGACAGATCTGTGCGCTACTTGTCTATTCCAAAATAACCCTGTTCTTGCCCTGGCTGGTGTGGCTCAGGTGGTTGGCTGTCGTCCGTGCACCAAAGGGTCGCCGGTTCAGTTCAGGTCAGGGCACACGCCCGGGTTGCCGGCTCGATCCCCAGTAGGGGTCGTGCAGGAGGCAGCCAAGCGATGTTTCACTCTCATCGATTTTTCTCTTTCTCTCCCTCTCCCTTCCTCCCTAAAAAAAAAATCAATCAAAATATATTAAAAAATTAGAACCTTTTTTACTGTGCCATTTCTACTATAAGGAGAAACCTTATTCTAATCGCCTTTTTTTCTTCTTCTTAGGGACCACAAGGAATCACTTTGAAGGGAAAAAAGTCATTAGCTTAGAGTACGAAGCATACATACCGATGGCAGAAAACGAAGTCCGGAGGATTTGTGGTGACGTGAGGCGGAAGTGGCCGGTCAGGCACATCGCGGTGTTCCACAGACTCGGGTACGACGCCCTCATGCCCTGCCAGCTCCCCTCCGTGCGGGCGCGGACCCTGGGGTGTCAGGTCCTGGCTCCGGGGAGAGGAGTTCGCATATTTCCTGGCAGGCGGTGGAGGTTAAGGCTGCTTGTTCCGTTGTAACGTTTGCAGTGCCAGCTGTTTGCCAGGGCCCAGGTGGGCAGGACCCTTGAGCCCGGGCCGCAGGGCTTGTGCGGATGAGGGGGAAGTCCCAGAGGCTGTTAGGGAATTGTCTTCTAGTCTGGACTCTGTTTATATGAAGAAAAGAGACTTTAAAGTACCTGCCCTGGGAGGACATTAGATTCGTTTGCCTTTTGTGTCCCTAAGAAGAGTGGCTTCCAGGCTTTGCAAGCGCCCAGCAGTGGAGACTGGATCGTCAGGCGCAGTGAGGTGCTAATTTACGGTGGCTGTCCTGTGATTACAGCGCCAGTGGTCCTGTCCGCTGTGTGTTGCTGTTTGACATTTAAGTTCTCTGCTGCTTCGCCAGCTGGTGACGTTTCTCCGGCGCCGCCGGGCGCTGTGCCTGTTGGTTTGGCTCAGGCGTTGGTTGACCTGGAGGCCACGTAGGAAGAAGGGGGTGTTAGTTCTGGGAGCTTCTCTGGGATTTCTCTTCAGGGGCCGTGAACCCTTGAGCAGTAGGTTCAGAGAAGGGGTAACGTGTCCTCCGTTCCGTTGCAGCCTGGTCCCCGTGTCCGAAGCAAGCGTTGTCATCGCCGTGTCCTCGGCCCACAGGGCTGCGTCCCTCGGAGCCGTGAGCTACGCCATCGACGCTCTGAAGGCCAAGGTGCCCGTGTGGAAGAAGGTACCTGGAGGAAGCTCCCGCCTCTGCCTTTGGCCGGGGTTTTCTCAGGGATTTTTGAGCACGAGAGCACATGCAGAGTTTGTGCGCATGCGTCTCCCCCGACTTGCTGACTCCTGTTTTCTTAATCTGAGAAGCAGGGTGTTTATGTAAAACTAGAGGCGTGATGCACGAAATTCCTGCAAGGGGCTCGACCCCCGCCCGCCTCAGTGGCCACCTCTGCCTCAGCCCTTACAGCCCCGGCTTCGTCCGGAAGGACGTCCGGTCTAATTAGCATATTATGCTTTTATTATCTAGGATCTTTTTTCCAAGGTTTGTTAACCATGAAAAATATACGCCCCCAGAATGCATGACACGGAGCCGGCCTCCGCAGTGTAAGAGTTGGGATTCCCAGGCTGCCGGAGCCCTCAGGTTAGGGTTCCCTGAACAAGGGGTCTCCTGGGCAGTTGCCAGCACAGAAATTCTTCAAGGCACTAGACCTCCCAGGGCTCCATCCTTTTAGAAAAAGAAAAGGGTGGAGAAAATGCCCGGTGAGTGGATGTAACCATGTCAGTGGGAGACGTACGGGCTCTGTGTGCCCAGCCCCGCAGTGAGGGCAAACGGGTCTCTGGTCATAGAGCCTCTCCCCCCACTAGCAGCAGCGGCAGCGGCTGTCTGTGCTCTCGGCGGCCAGCACCCAGGTGGGGCTGTAGCAGAGTGTGAGCTGCTGGGCGGTGGGGGGACAGCAGCCAGGGCCGGGGACCAGGGCGGGGGCCCCTCAGTGTCCATGACGGCTGGACCTGACCCGCCTGAGGGATATAGTCACCAGGCTTTCCGAATGGAAACCGAATCCCCTTGTTAAAGGGGAAACTGGGGTGAGAGGCGTGAGTGTGAAGGGACCCTGGCTTAGTGCAGCTCAGATGTCTGGGTGTTTGCTCTGAACCAGGCCACGGTGTCCATAGAGCGGGGGAGGCGCCTAAGAAGGGAGTGGAGGGCACCCCACAGTGAGGGCACCCCATGGAGAGAGCACCCCACGGTGAGAACACTCCACGGTGAGGGCACCCCACAGTGAGAGCACCCCACGGTGAGAACACTCCATGGTGAGAGCACCCCACGGTGAGGGCACCCCATGGTGAGAGCACCCCATGGTGAGGGCACCCCACGGTGAGAGCACCCCACGGTGAGGACACCCCATGGAGAGAGCACCCCACGGTGAGGGCACCCCACAGTGAGGGCACCCCATGGTGAGAGCACCCCACAGTGAGAGCACCCCACGGTGAGGGCACCCCACGGTGAGAGCACCCCACGGTGAGAGCACCCCACGGTGAGAGCACCCCACGGTGAGAGCACCCCACGGTGAGAGCACCCCACGGTGAGAGCACCCCACGGTGAGAGCACCCCACGGTGAGAGCACCCCACGGTGAGAGCACCCCACGGTGAGAGCACCCCACGGTGAGAGCACCCCACGGTGAGAGCACCCCACGGTGAGAGCACCCCACGGTGAGAGCACCCCACGGTGAGAGCACCCCACGGTGAGAGCACCCCACGGTGAGAGCACCCCACGGTGAGAGCACCCCACGGTGAGAGCACCCCACGGTGAGAGCACCCCACGGTGAGAGCACCCCACGGTGAGAGCACCCCACGGTGAGAGCACCCCACGGTGAGAGCACCCCACGGTGAGAGCACCCCATGGTGAGAGCACCCCACGGTGAGAACACTGCATGGTGAGGGCACCCCATGGTGAGAGCACCCCACGTGAGTCATGAGCCTGGGGCAGGGGGAGGGGACAGCCCACGACTGCAGGTGAGAGGGTGGCCTCCAAAGAAGGCCGTGGGCGGTGGGGAGGGTCCAGGTGTCCAGAGGACAAGCAAGTGTGGGTTTCTGTTCCGCCGGCAGAGGAGCTGGCTAGAGAGTGAGAAGGGAAGGTGGCCTGTCCTTCCTTCCAGAACGTGTGGAAACGCTAGTCTGCTCCTAGTCGCGGCCTGTGCTTCGAGGTCGTCTGTGGCGCAGGCACAGGTGGGCAGGCAGGCACCACCTGCGTCCGGAGCAGCTGTCACCTGTGCAGAGCTTCTGCAGGTGTGACCACGTCACAGGCTGAGCCCCGCTGCCTGGGGACCAGCGCAGGTAGAGCTGTGGGAGCAGCAGGTGTGTTTGGAAAGGAAAATGCTTAGAACTGAAGACCCGCCTCTTCTGCCTGCCCAGCTGTCCCTGTGCTGGGCCCCAGGGAGTTCGGCCCTTATTCTGCCCCGTCGTCCCCCCTGGTAAGGCTTCTGTCCGCTGCTCCCCTCTGGGTTGGCGTCCTTACGTGGAGGGGACGTGTTCGTTCCTTTCTCTGCTCGCGGTGCCGATATAAACGTCCCGGGATGTGGAGAGAGGAGCAGATTTCAGTAGGTGTGATGTCCATCGCCCTCGCTGCTCAAATCTACGTGTATTCAGATGCTTTGTGTTGAATGCCTGTTACGCTTCTGTCTTTTAGGAAATATACGAAGAATCGTCATCATCTTGGAAGAGAAACAAAGAATGCTTTTGGGCAGCCAGCGACTAAGTCACTCACGTTGGTGACGTGGCCGCCTGACCTTGGGCCACAATCTGATTTTCCTTCTCCAGAGCTCAGGAGCGTTTAGGGTGAGGTCTTACACTGGAGCTAGAGAGAGGGACCGCCTTTAGGGGAAACGGAAGAATAATTTAAACGCGAGGAAAGATGTCAGCGGTAGACAAATGAGCTCATGACGAATGATTGTAACTGGACTCACGAGTCTGTCTCAGAACCCACCTCCCCATCCCCCCTCCCCACAGCCAGGGTGCCACTATGGTGCTGGCTGGAGGGCGCACAAAGTCATTACTGGACAGTCATGATATATTTTAAGAATTTATATATTTAAAAAGTAAACCAAATAAACATTAAAAACGTTTATGAGCAGCATTTTTCTGTGTTTTAAAATTCAGTACTAAGACATAAAACATGTATTTCATACTATGGCGATGTCTAGGATTTCAGAATCTATCATCTCACCATTACTTATTAGATTTTATAAGTTCTTAGTGTTGAATCCGTATACAAATCAGCATGAAGTCGCTGTAAAACCAGGGTAATTGACTAGCAACAAGGTTCCTTTGGGTTATACCGTTAGTTGATATTTAAAATTTGACCCACAGCCGGCCTGCACGGCTCCGCGGTTGAGCATCAACCAGGAGGTCCCGGTTCGATTCCCGGTCAGGGCATATGCCTGGGTTTCGGGCTCGGTCCCCAGTGGGGGGCGTATGGGAGGCAGCCTCTCCCTCCCTCTCCCTTCCTCTCTGACATCAATAAAATAAAAATAAAAATTGATCCACAGCCACTGGAAAAGGAGAATGATGTGGTTGTTTATTAAAGCACTTTCAGATAGTAGCCCTTTTAGCTGCTTAGGCAGCATCACCATCAGTGAGGTCCTTAATGAGCAACTTCTCTGCAAGGTCTTTGTCCTAAACAAAGGCCCAGCCTCCTCGTGGTCACCTGTATACCATCTTCGTGGACAGGAGTGTATGACCTCCTTATCGGCCTTAAAGCAATAAAACATGGACATAATTTCAGGCGACTGACACCACAGAATTCGCATTATGCATGTTGGGAACGAAGACTAGACTTGCAGACACAGATTGACTGCATTTGGGGTGATATTACTTGTTACATCTAGTGAGACATTGTTAACAGAAGGAATTCACTTTTCCAACCATCCTTGCCTGCCTGCTTGGTGCCAGGCACCCGGCTGGTGGTCCCTGCCCCCGACCCTCACATCCAGGGGAAGGGTCTGCATGCTGCCTCTTCCTGGGCTGCAGGAGCCACGCTGGCGCCAGGAATCCCCGGTAGCCAGGCTTTTCCCCACCTGTTGATCCAGAGAAACTGGGCTGACGGACCCGGAAGGCAGACACACCCTCCCCTACTCTCCCTGATCGCCTGGCCTCGGCCTGGCCCTCTCTGGACTCATGCTTCCTTCTTCCGTCCACTACATTAGCCCCTTAGGAGAACAAGACAGTGTCATTCATTCTGAAAGCACATTAGCGTGGAGGTACGGGCCCCTGTAGATATTCCCAGAGCTTTGTACCTGGATTGTTAATATGTTTATGCACTAAAGCCCCGATGCACGAAATTCATGCAAGAGTAGGCCTTCGTTCCCCTGCTGCCGGCACCGGCTTCCCTTTGGACGCCGGCAGGGCAGGCACCGAGGACCGGGCTTCCCTCGCAGCCCCAACTTCGTCCGGAAGGATGTCCGGTCTAATTAGCATACTACACTTTTATTATTACAGGTGATTTCACTTACATGTGGAATCTAAAATACAGACTCGTAGATACAGAAAACAAACCAGTGTTTACCAGCGGGGAGAGGGGATCGGGGGTGGATGAAATAAGTGAAGGGATTAAGATGTGCAGATTTCCAGTTATAAACGTTATGGGGATGTAAAGTACCGCAGAGGGAATGTGGTCGATGATGTTGTAACGCCTGTGTATGGCTACGGCCACAGCTGGTGCAGGGATTTGGGCAGGATTGGTTTGTGTGCTGTCGTTAGGTCTTCCAGCAGGGGGCAGTAGATCCTGGGCTATAGGCAAAGCAACTTGTGTGAGATTATTTGATTACTTTTATTTTGCACAGAACCCAAAAGTGCTATTTGGTTAGTAACCTTTTTCTTTTTTTAAAGTAAGTTAGGTTGGAGTGGGCCTTCGATGAAAATTAGTCCCTGGTTTTGAATTAGATGAATTTCAATCTTTAATTGGAATCTTAGTTTAGAATATTAAAGGGTTATGGTAGAATGAGGGGGTTTTTTAAAATGCTATTTGTAGTAACATCCTCAGGTGAGGATTAACTAACAATACATTTTAAAAAATGAATAAAAACATATCCTCAGGAGAGGGTCAGAAATAATAAAAACAAACAAAACCCATAAAGCCTGAATTGCCAGTGAACATCTGAAAAAAATGCTCAATCCCACCAGGAACCAGGGACCAGGAACCAGGGAGACATCACTTAAAACACAAGGTGTCATCACACACCCACCGGATGGGCAGAAATAACGATCCTGACATCACAAGTGCAGAGGTCAGGTGACCCGCACACTGGGGGTGGGAGGGAAACCCGCGCAGCAGCTTTGAAAAGAAGAAAAAAACAAATGTTCTCTCCCCGGATTCGTGTTAATGCCCGGTGCTCACCAGACACACGTGTGTGTGTGTGTGTGTGTGTGTGTGTGTGTGTGAGAGAGAGAGAGAGCGCAGGAAGCTGCCCCCTGACTCGGTTTCCCAGAACCGGTGGGGACGGGAAGGCGTGAGAGGTCACCTGACTCGGAGCACGGGCGTCGCTGTGAATGGCAGCACCTGGGAGTGAACGTGCCGTCCGTCTGTCCCACGGGCCAGTCTGTGAGCCTGAGGCGCATCTTGGCTTATGATTTCAGCACATTCATGTCAGCTTGTTTAATCCTTAAAAATGAAAATACTCAAACCCTCCTGCTCGCTCCCGGGATTAGAAAACAGCCACACAGACGTGCAGGTGCTGCAGCTGCTGGCTCTCCTGCTTCGCTCCGGGCACAGGCTCGACCTCAGCTCAGCTGTGCGGCCAGCGCCACGGAGGGAGTGAGCGGATCCCGCTAAGCTGCCGCCCTGGGCCCAGTAGCTCGGGGCCTGCGGGTCTGAGCTCTGACTGTGGAGCAGGCTCAGTGCCTGTGGCCTGAGGCGCGGAGCGGCCAGTCCCTGCTGGGCAGGATTTTAAGGTCCCAGATGCCGCTCACTGCCAGTGGCGGGAGAGGAGGGACAGCCCTCCTGCCGAGTCCGGAGTGAGTGGGAAGACAGTGAAACACAAGAGCGTGAAATCCAGAATCCCCAGGAGAGAGCACTGTTTTCTAAAGGACTTCATTCATTCGGTCATGCGGTGTGGACAGAGGGGTTACAGTCACAGGACACTTGCTGCTTCGCACACTTTCGCAGGAGCACGGCCCCGAGTCGATACTGAGGATCACTCGCTCCTCCAGTGGATGTTTCTCGAAACCAGGTGAACTCTACAGCTTTATGTACACACACACACACGTACATGCGTTTTCATAGTTTTGGTCGAGAGGAAAGACAAAAACTAGTTAATCAAAAACAATAACCATGTTACATCTTAGTACAGATTTATACATTAATATATGAAAGTATCGAAGACAATTTGCCTTTAAAAAATATACAATTCTCATATAATTGTGCAACATATACATTTATATTTTGAGTTTATCTGCCAAAATACATCTGGTACAGATGAAACCATCTCTTTATATTTACACAACGGCTACCTTTTTGTTCTCGAAGGTTCAAAGTAGTTACATTTTTATTTCAAAATTTACCCCGTTTTTATGACCGTGGCCTCTCGGGGTCCGTCTGGCGTTGATACAAATGGGTGTTTCTCTACAGGAGGGCGTGCCCTACACCTGTGCACGCGGTTACTTCCCTGTGCAAACTGGAATGCCAGTCTGAGGAGTTCCGCTTTCTGTTGGATGATGTCTTAACTTATGAGCGTTTCCTACATGAGGTAAAGCTGTATGATAGGACAATTACACTATAAAGAACTTCTGTGGTAACTTTTAGTACAATCACCTGTGTGATACGCTAAGTTGGTTCACCTTTTCTTTGCTCTTCCTGCTAAGGGAGACGGTTGCTGTTTTATGAAAAGGACTCCGCCAGCGAGAGACCCTCTCTGCAGCTCCACGTCCTCGCTTTGCTGCTAACAGCTCAAGGCCCAAGTTCGAGTCTGTGGTTTCCTTACAAACTGTTCCACTCGGTTCCTATTTGCAGCCCTGCCTACAGTGGCCCTGCCTACAGTGGCCCTGCCTACAGCACTGTGTCTTGGTCGCACTCGGCAGGCCTTGTCTGGGCACCGTTTATGAAATGGACACTCTAACGTGGCATCTTCTTTTTTTAAAATATTTTATTGATTTTTTACAGAGAGGAAGGGAGAGGGATAGAGAGTTAGAAACATCCACGAGAGAGAAACATGGATCAGCTGCCTCCTGCACACCTCCTACTGTGGATGTGGCCCCCAACCAATGTACATGCACTTGACCGGAATCGAACCTGGGACCTTTCAGTCCGCAGGCCGACGCTCTATCCACTGAGCCAAACCAGTTAGGGCACGTGGCATCTTCTAAGCCCTACACCATATTTCATCTCCAAACAAAAGTGTGGCTGAATAGGAATACAAAACTTCTTCTTAAACAAAGTTTTTTTTCCTTTTATAAAAAATATATTTTATTGATTTCAGAGAGGAAGGAGAGGGAGAGAGAGATGGAAACATCAGTGATGAGAGAGGAGCTTGGATCAGCTGCCTCCTGCACGCCCCCCACTGGGGATCCAGCCCACAACCCGGGCTTGTGCCCTGGCCGGGAATGGAACGTCACCTCGTGGGTCCATAGGTGGACGCTCACACCGGCCGGGTTCTTTCATTTCTTTGATGAACAGTCACCTTTGCTTAAAAGTGGTGGAGAAGTGCTCGTCCATCGGTAAATGCAGCCTCTGCCTCCGACCACCGATCTGATCGCAGAAGCCGTGCTCAGGCAGGTGTGGTTAGCACAGCGGTTCCCAATCTGGGTGCCTTGGTCCCCCGTGGCCTCATGAGGGCTGGAGACAGTCTGGTATCACCACCAGGGGCGGCCTGCTCCCAGCCTGGGCAGCGAGAGGCCTGGGAAGCTGCGGACCATCCCACAGGGCACAGGACGCCCGAGGACCTCACCTGGCCCCAGGCATCAGCAGCGCCCAGGCCACACCTGACTGTGCTGCACGGTGCGGAGCCAGGCGGTACGTTGGTCAGTCTCGGGAGCCCAGCCCCTTCGCGGGAAGAACACGGGGAGGCCTCTCCCTGGTCTTGCCCGAGCTCCCGCCCTGCGTGCGTGACGGCAGCTGAGTGCCCGGTAAGGAGGCGGCGA